AGTTCTAGTAAATAAGCCCCAATGTTTGCTATGTCCATATGATCCAACTACCAGGTTTCTTTTAAAATATATATCTATGGGCATTTGGAAAAGCTGGCTTGCTAAACATGCAAATGTATGGCTTTGAGGGACAGAGATAACAAAGCAAGATAACATCCCTGTTCCCAGATTATGTTTTGAAAGAACAACAGTGATTGGTAGAAAGACTCAGCAAAGCCATCCTCTATTTTCAAAATCAGTCATCCAAGATGTTAATGGAGGTCTTATTGAACTTGAAGTAATGGAGATCATGGCCAAAAGCAAGAATCATCTTGTGTCTATAGGACTCTTAATGAACAGTTATATCTTTGACAGCACCAATAAACCCAAAGGACATGAAAGAATGTACATAGCATACAAAAAGCCAATTACACCAAACTAAATTCCCCAAAATCTACAATATTCTTTTCCAGTGAATTGCCATACATCTAGGGCTTTATTCAACTGTATATAAACAGCTGTAATGATTTATCTGTTTTATAGAAATGTTTGCATGCTTTTTTAAAACCACAGTGGATAGTTAATTAAAATCAGATGTAACGTTAAAAAAAATATTTTGTGCTGTACACTATATTTTGGGTGTCTATCTTGAATTCTTTCAATTATTATTTATTAACATATGTTGCCTATTGACCTACAGTTATAAAATAAGTAATAGTTTTCATTTTTAGAATATATATAAAAACATTATTTATGAATGGCACAAAGTTGATATACTATATACTTTTTTGCGGTGTGTGTAGGAAACAGACTGCATGTCATACGCTTCCATGTGATGACACACAGCTGTACGTCTTACACAGCACAGAAAATGCTGGTGGCAAAGCTTTTACTTGTTTGTAAATTATAGCATAGGTTTTCTTTAATTCAATATTTCATGACATTCCTGCCAGAGCACAGTATTACAACTTCCAAAACACAAAGCGGATGCATTCATTTAACCCACTCAACCTATTTGTCGGGCTTTCTTTGACTATTCTTTTGTTCCTTTCTCACCTACATGTTAAATCATTATGATTTGTTTTTCCACGTGCTGAAAAATGTCTATTCTTTCAACACTAGTTTCAGGGTATTTTCTTACCAGCATCTATGACTGGTAAATGTGTAACTGAAAGTCTTCTCCAGTAGGGATTGAGAAAGTCGTCAGACTTCAAACTGACATAATTGAAAGAAAGCTTCACTTCATTCTGTTTACAGGGTGCAGGTGTTTTCAGCTAGTACACATATGGAAAGGTAACTGCTAAAGCAGACACGGCAATGAAATGTTTTCTTTCCTCCTCTATATACCTCTCAGTTTAGCAAAGCCATTACAGTTATAATTGCAGGCTCTTTAATAAACTATGTAATCATATAAACATGCACAGATATATGAAACAATTCTTTATTATTTTTATTATTATTATTATTACTACTACTACTACTACTAATTATGACATTATTATTAATAATAATAATAATAATAGTACAAAAACATAGATATTATATTATTATTATTATTATTATTAATAATAATAATAATACCAACAACAGCAGTACTACTAATAATAATATTAATAATAATAATTATTATTATTATTGTTGTTATTATTATTTTTATTGTTGTTAATATTTGTTTCATACATCTGCGCATGTTTATATGATTACATAGTTTATTATTATTCAAATCTTTAATATTATTAGTAAAGCTTATCAAAAATGTTATTACCAAGCCCCCTCATGCCCAACAATTTGGACAACAAATTATGTAGGCCACATCACTTAATACCAGCTCCCCAATGCATAGTAAATTTACACTTATTTCAATGCTTTGAACTAATTATAGGAAAACATTTAATTAACAGTAAAAAACTTTTAGCCCAAAAAAAAAAATCTGCTTTATGTTATGTGGTGGGAAATGTTATTCAAGACTATTTAAATTTCTTCTTTATTCGGAATAAAAGTTAATAATCCCATATGCAGCATTAGGATAACAACTAAAGAACATCAAGCACATGTCATTAAAAACTACAGGGCCCCAGTGCACAATCTGAACAGAGCCCTCTAATCCTGTGAAGGATAATAATAAGGATGACATTGTTTCCTCCTGAATCTACCTAAAATGACTTCTCAATGCTCAGATTTCAGGAGAGCAGAAAATAAATGAAATGTAATATCATAGGTGTATACATACATTACATATTACTCACAGCTGGTAAACATGGTAGAGTTGCCTCCGTTGTTTAGGCTATGTATCCCTATGAGCTCATAGGCTGTTTTAACTTCTGTAACTGCCCACCCCCTGCGAACATACAGTTATTTATTATGCCCTAGATCAAGCCCTTACATGACATTAATTAAGGTAGACTTGCATTTGCCAACAGACATATTCAAAGTTGAAAAATATGATCAGACTCTTGCCTACTACACCAAGAGCACAATGTACACAATGAGATTTCAGCAAATCAAATATTATTTCCACTGCAGAAATCAGATGTCACTGAATGACATACTAACAGCATAGCTATTTCCATAACATAGCCAAGCTTACTTTTGTATGTAAATAACTTCAAACATTAGGTATTCTAATGTAAACAACTGCTGAATCATGTCTATTCATTGAAATAGCACAGTCATGTTATATCTGGAATATCATTTAACACCAAACACAGTTACAATTTATTTTCTGTATGGATGTTCATTGCATTGGCAGGCATCAAGACATATCCTATATCCTAAGCTTGTACAACTGCAATCAATTCATATGGCCTTTTGCTGTAGTTTCCACGTCTATTTCACAGGTCGGTAAAACATAAAACATAAACCACACAACTTATTCCACCATATAAAAACTGCATCTACTACATGGCAATGTTAGCTTTTATGTTAACCGTTAAAGAAGGTCTCGGGAGAGTATTTTCCAGCAGCCAGAGCTGGGGATTCCCAATTCATATCTACACTTCAGCACCACACCAGATGAACAGCTCCCTCCAGCTTATTGGCCAATGCAGGTGGAAGCTGAAAGCTGCAATTTCATACAGACAATAATAGCACAGCATTCTAAACCCACAAACTGCTGTTTTTGTCTATATAGTAGCCATCATTGCCTTAAATTAAGGTAAACTTTATTCATCACAAACCAGCAATATAAAAACCCAACTGTTGACTGTCACATTGTACCAGCAGTGATATGAAATTGTTACTGGTACAATGCAATGAGAAAAAACGTTTCTCAATATGCACATAAAGTAAACAGAAATCAGGCTTTACAATAACCACATTTAATATTGCTTGTAAAATAGTTCTCAATACCACATTCACGAGTTTAGAAATGATAACAGGATATATGCTTTTTGAAACAAATCAGTTTTAAAAGCAAAACTTTTCTTTTTCATTTTGGATAGAGTAGGGGAAAGTTACAAAGACTTTTTTGCTAACTGTGTCCCATTGGAAAGGATTTCCCTCCACATCCTGTCCTATAGCCACAACAGGACGTAAAAGGAAATCCCTCAAATTCTTGGCAGTTCCCACTTTTACCTTCCACACCATAGTGGTGATTCAAAATGTGGCTTTTTCTTTCACTTTCGGTGATGATGGTTATAATGACAAATAGAGAGGTTACTTCTCCCTAATGAGGACAAAGAGAAATAAAATCTAAAAAGTGCTCCATCTAAAGTTAAAAAAAAAGTTTTGCCTTCAACAATACTTGTTAAAAGTATGCAACAATACCGAAAAACTGTAAAAAGTGCCAATATCGCCAAAAATGTCACCACCACAACAGGTCTGCAGACAATCTATTCAACAACAAGGCCTTCGGCTTTCTGCTATACTTCTGTGCATCTTTATAGTGAGCTCCTCCAATACTTTCTACTATTGCAGCAAACAACTGGGCATCCAACAATACATCCAATTTAGAAAAGCACTTTAAAATCAAGTAGGGTCCATTTTCAAACACCACTAGCCAACGAAAGAAGACTAAATCCAATAATTCCATTACCTAGTGGGTGTTAATTTTCTAGAAGTCAACAAACTGTTCATTTTGTAAAGGCAGTTGCACTTTGCAAGGGAATTTTCCAAATAGCTCCAAATGAGGCTCTGCTGACTTCCATCTTCCAAACACCTGCAAGCAAAAAAATTTTGTTTTTTGTATTTTCCCTAAATGTAATTAGATAGTCTTTGCAAAGTGAAACTTCACCACGTTCGCTAGGCTAAGGGTAAATTCCCTGGCATGCGCACCTTCAATTACAAAGCGAACAGACTACTTAATTTTACTAAATCAACCCATGTGAACCAATGCAGCCTTGACACACAGGAGGTTGATTTACTGGAGGCAAATAGGTGTTCACTGGACAAGAAAAGCTGCAGTTTGTGCAACAGATTTTCCCTTAGTTTAGTAAATGTAGTGTTATTTAAAATGGAACTAGACCCTCCTATTCTTTATAGCCAAAAAAGCTGATAGCTTCTGTTTGACCTGTAGTTGCCATGGTGGCGCACATTAATGGTTTGAGAGTTTGGTTGCGGGCACCAGCAAATGTGACAGATATCAATCAGGGAATGCCTTGAAAGTGAAACTAAACACTCCTAACTTGTTTTAGCCAAGGAAGCTGCCATCTTAGCCTCTACTTGTTCTTCAATTGCCTTGACTACTTGATAGTTGCAGGAAATGGCAACATAGAATCTCATAAGCCTAGTGTACTTAAAGGAAACATGTCATGACAGAAATATGGAAGCTTCCACTACTGACCCCTGCCCTTAAAGTGGAACTAAACCCTCCTGTTGCTTTCAGCCAAGGAAGCTGCCATCTTAGCCTCTGCTTGATCTTCAACTGCCATGATGCTGCAAGTGATGAATTATGACACCTGCCATTTAATGATTTGACAGTTTGAAGGAGGGCACAAGAAAATGTGATAGTTATCATTCAGGGCATGCCTTAAAAGCGGAACTAAACCCTCCTATCGTTTCAGTCATGGAATCTGTCATCTTACCCTCTGCTTGATCTTCAACTGCCATGGTGCTGCACATGTAATTAGTTATGACCAGGGGCGGACTCACCATTTGGAAACTCGGGCACAGTCCGAGGGCCCGGGGTCAGTAGGTGGCCCCATGAGATGCCCCTGGTACCTCTTTCATAGGCTTTTTTGAGTTTGGGCAAGGACACAGGGGCCCCATGATCCCCTATTGCCCGGGGGCCCCATGAGTTGTCAGTCCACCCCTGGTTATGACACTAGCCATTTGATGGTTTGACAGTTTGGTTGACAGCACTACCAAACATGACAGCTACAGTCTCGGCACATGCCGAGAATGTAACTGTTTTATGAAACTGTTAAATTGTTGGGTTTAGTTCTGCTTGAATATAACTGTTTTGGTAAACCTTTAAATCAAACCTTTGATACTGTTAAATTGATGGGTTTAGTTCCACTTTAACTTTGCAAAGAATATTTAATCACGTGCAAGGAAGATTAAAAAAAATCAGCATTTTTTATTGCACTTGTTTGGAGGATGGAAGTTGACAGAGCTTCACCTCATTCACTAAACTCTGGGGAACATTCCCTTGAAAACGTTTAAAATTCCCTTGCCTTTAGGAAATCAATCCCAATGACCCAAAGCAGTCTTGGCACCTTCCCTGCATCCTTGGCCTTCCAAAGGAACATTTCCTTGCAGAAGTGCAACTCCCTTTGCCTTTAGGAAATCATCCCCAACAAACCAAAGCTGCCCCAACACTTTGCCTGCATCCATGTGCTTCCAAAGGAACATTCCCTTGCAAAAGAACAACTTCCCTTGCTTTTAGGAAATCAGCCCCAGTGAACCAAAGCAGCCCTGACACCTTGCGTGAATCCATGGGCTTCCAAAGGAGGATTCCCTTGTTTTTAGTAAATCAGCCCCAGTGAAGCAAAGCAGCTCCAACATCTTACCAAGTACAACTTTCTTTGCTTTTAGGAAATCAGCCCTAGTGAGCCAAAGCAGCCCTGACAACTTGCCTGCATCCATTGGCTTCCAAAGGCACAATCCCTTGCAAAAGTACAACTTCCCTTGCTTTTAGGAGATCAGCCCTAGTGAACCAAAAGCAGCCCAACACCTTGCCTGCATCCATGAGCTTCCATGGAATATTCCCTTGCAAAAGCACAACTTCCCTTGCCTTTAGGAAATCAGCCCCATTGAACCAAAGAAGCCCTGACACCTTGCCTGCATCCATGGGCTTTCATGGAACATTCCCTTGCAAAAGTGCAACTTCCCTTGCTTTTAAAAAATCAGCCTCAGCGACTCAAAGGAGCCCAACACCTTGCCTGCATCCATGAACTTCCAAAGGAACATTCTCTTGCAAAAGTACAACTTTCCTTATGTATAGGAAATCAGCCCCAGTGAACCAAAGCAGCCCTGACACCTTGCCTGCATCCATGGGCTTCCAAAGGAACGTTCTCTTGCAAAAGTAAAACTTCTCTTGCCTTTAAAAAATCAACCCCAGTGACCCAAAGCAGCCTTGGCACGTTCCCTGCATCCATGGGCTTCCAAAGGAACATTCCCTAGCAAAAGTGCAACTTTCCTTGCATTTAGGAAATCAGCCTCAGCAACTCAAAGGAGCCAAACACCTTGCCTGCATCCATGAACTTCCAAAGGAACATTCTCTTGCTTTTAGGAAATCAGCCCCAGTGACTCAAAGGTGCCCAACACCTTGCCTGCATCCATGAACTTCCAAAGGAACATTCCCTTGCTTTTAGGAAATCAGCCCCAGCGACTAAAAGGAGCCCAACGCCTTGCCTGCATCCATGAACTTCCAAAGGAACATTCCCTTGCTTTTAGGAAATCAGCCCCAGCGACCCAAAGGAGCCTTGGCACCTTGCCTGCATCCATGGGCTTCCAAAGGAACATTCCCTTGCAAAAGTACTTCCCTTGCTTTTAGTAAACCAGCCCCAGTGAACCAAAGCAGACTTGGCACCTTGCCTGCATCCATGGGCTTCCAAAGGAACATTCCCTTGCACAAGTACAACTTCCCTTGCTTTTAGGAAATCATCCCCAGCGACCCAAAGCAGCCTTGGCACCGTGCCTGCATCCATGGGCTTCCAAAGGAACATTCCCTTGCACAAGTACAACTTCCCTTGCTTTTAGGAAATCATCCCCAGCGACCCAAAGCACTTCCCTGCAAACAGCCCCAGTTGCCTGCATCCATGGGCTTGAACATTCCCTGCAAAGCAACTTCCCTTGCTTTTAGCAAAATCAGCCCCAGCGAACCAAAGCAGCAATTGGCACCGTGCCAGCAATCCATGGGCTTCCCCTACTTTAGTAATACATCTCCATCAGCAACAAATCAAAAGCCAAGTGCAATACAAAAAGAGGGTTTGGGCAGGATGCGGCGACTTACCACAACCTCTGCAGAGCACCCTGCCAACGTCTTTCTTCAGGTTCCTGCCAGTCTCCAAGGGTGGGAAGGAAGCCCTGAAGATCGAGCTGGTGTTGGTGGGATCCATGAAGAAGATGTACCTGCTGTCTTCCTTCAGCTTCAGACAGCCGAAGCCGAAATCCCCCTGCACGGTGATGAAGGAGTCCTTCTCCAAGCCGGCCGACTTGACCGGCCAGACCTGATGCACCTTGACCAGGTAGGACTGGACCGGGGCAGGTGAGGCTGAGTCTGTAGATCCGCTGAGGGCGATGGTGGCGATGGTGGTGAGGCTGGCCGCAGAAGCCGCGATCCAAGCGGTCACCGCTGGCTCCGTGTAGCCATCCAGCTGTTGCCCTTTGGTGACCAGGTCCCCTTCCTCAGGTAGGTGCTTCCTCCTGCCCTGCTGCACTTTGCCCTCTAGGACCACTCGGGAGCGCTGAGCCAGTTCCTGCACCGAGCCGGCGCTGGGGGACGAATAGCACACGGCCGGGGAGACTCCAGCCCGGCACCGGCACCTGCTGCAACGACCCCGCCAGCCACCACTGCAGCAGGGAGAGGAGGAGCCGGGGAATGAGTAGACGCTGCAGCAGCTGAGGCACCAGCGCTACCGGGAGCGCCGCTCACTGCACCACCTCCCGCACCTCCAGCAGAAGAAGACGACGAGGATGACGAGGAAGCCGCCGTCACCGCGGCAGAAGTCCACAGGAAAAAACAGCAGGGCGCCGTAACAGCAGCCCCAGCAACAGGAGCAGCCGCCACCTGCCAAGCCCGAGCCGGCGCCCGGCAACAAGCAAGGTGAGAGGCCGGCGGCCAGAGACGTGCTAGACGAAGAAGACGACGTGTATTGCAATCTCATGGTAAGGCTCGCTTCCCTGTGGGTGCTCAGTTTGCTTTGGTTGGGGGTGCCCCCCACCCCTGACTTCCTGGGGGGGGAGATACCTTTTGGGAGAAAGGAGGGGGGGTTGGTGGTAGGTGAAAGGGGGGGGAGGTAGGTAGCAGAGGTTATTTCTTGGCGCAGCAACAAGAGGTTGGTGGGGCGGAGGTTTTGCAGGACCCAGTAGACTAGAGGTGGTGGTGGCGAGAAGAAAACGAGAGAGAGAGGGGGGGGGGGGGGTTACCAATAAAAAAATAGTGAAAATTAAAAAAAAAAAAAAAATTAAAAAAAAATTCAGATGTTGCTTTTCAAGGGAGAGAGAGGATGCTGTAGCCAAGTCCTGGTGTCTGCATGGAGGAGGAGAGGCAAGCTGAAGGCTTTATAGAGACCAAACCTCCTGTGTGGAGTGAAGGGGATGCTGCGGCTGAGGCTGCTGCTGCTGCTACAGACTGCCACACATACACACACACACACACACACACATGCACAGGGGAAAGAGGAGGAGTTGCAAAGCTGGATATTGCTTCCCCCCATGCCATGTGTGTAGTTCCACCGCTGTTTACATTTGGGATTTGACATCTTTTCCTTCGCTCTTTGACCCATTCTGTCCCCCCCCCCTTCAAATGTTAGCTCTGTACCCCCCACCTTCAAATAAAGCGATAATAAAGGCCGCTACCTTTTTTTTTTTAAGCCACCCCCCCAGGTGGGTTATTATTATTATTATTATGCAGGATTTATATAGCGCCAACAGTTTGCTCAGCTCTTTACAGTATAAAGGGAGACAATACAGCAACAATACAGTTCAATACAAGAGGGTTAGGAGGGCCTGATCCTGGGAGCTTACAATCTAAGATTATTATTATTATTATACAGGATTTATATAGCGCCAACAGTTTGCTCAGCGCTTTACAATATAAAGGGAGACAATACAGCAACAATACAGTTCAATACAAGAGGGATAGGAGGGCCTGATCCTTGGAGCTTACAATCTAAGATTATTATTATTATACAGGATTTATATAGCTCCAACAGTTTGCTCAGCGCTTTACAATATAAAGGGAGACAATACAGCAACAATACAGTTCAATACAAGAGAGATAGGAGGACCCTGATCCTTGGAGCTTACACTCTAAGATTATTATTATTATTATACAGGATTTATATAGCGCCAACAGTTTGCTCAGCACTTTACAATATAAAGGGAGACAATACAGCAACAATACAGTTCAATACAAGAGGGATAGGAGGGCCTGATCCTGGGAGCTTACACTCTAAGATTATTATTATTATACAGGGATTTATATAGCGCCAACAGTTTGCTCAGCACTGTACAATATAACGGGAGACAATATACAGTTCAATACAGTTCAATACAAGAGGGATAGGAGGGCCCTGCTCCTTGGAGCTTACAATCTAAGATTATTATTATACAGGATTTATATATCGCCTACAGTTTGCTCAGTGTTTTACAATATAACGGGAGACAATACAGCAACAATACAGTTCAATACAAGAGGGTTAGGAGGGCCTGATCCTGGGAGCTTACACTCTAAGATTTATTTTATATTTATATAAATCCAGTATAATAAAGGGAAAATCAAAGTCTACATGTTCAATAAATAGGAACCCCCCTGAGCTTACACTCTGTTTGTTCTTATTCAATATTCTTCCTCCATATATGATTATTCCTTCATTCCAAGTGTTACCCTGAAGAAAAAGAATATATAAATCCCCATAGTGTATGTTTATCACTGTTGTGTTGTTCTTATTCAATATTCTTCCTCCATATATGATTATTCCTTCATTCTCCAAGTGTTACCCTCAAGAAAAAGAAATATAACCGCCCATAGTGTATTATCACTGTTGTGTTTGTTCTTCTTATTCAATATTCTTCCCCCATATATGATTAATCCTTCATTCTCCAAGTGTCACCCTCAAGAAAAAGAAATATAACCACACATAGTGTATTATC